TGGATTGATCGTCACATTAGAACGCCCATGGCTGAAAGAAAAAGCATGTTCTGTGACGGGATTCAAGCTCGCGAACCGCAGATTGTGAGATGAGCGCACTAACCACCTGGCCATGCCAGGTACTACTTAAATATAATTATGGTGTTCATGTAATCTGAAAGTAAATACGAAAGTATTCATAAAATGTAATTTTATAATCTAACTAAGTTTATACAAGGTATTCCTACGACTAATTTCCATAGCACCAGTTACATTATTATAAATTTTAAAAGGAATGGGATTTCAAATGATTATATCAATCAATATTAAAAACTTTCAGCTGTTGTAAATACCTATTATCTAATTTTTCAACTTTTCCAATAATTATAGCATATTTAAAGAAAAAAATATATAAATTTTTTAATATTGGAAAGTAAACAGATTTTGTCAACAAACTTAAAGCAAAAATCAATTTAAAAAGATAAAAGCATTGATGAAGTTGATATTGTATCATCAGATCAATATTATTTGTTTTAAATATATAAAAAGTAACATTTTTGGTCAATAGATGGAGAGACATATAGGTACTTATCGACCTACCAGCTGTTTCACATGTGTATTAATCCGCTACAGACAAAGAGCAAGTCATTTTCACAAAAACAACAACAATTAATTGGTATTAAAACACACGTTTATAAACACATGATAATTCAAATTCTATACAACTAGTTTATTAATGTTTTTGAAAGTCAATTTAACAAGCCATTCTTATGGATCTATTTATTAGTGCAGAGGAGCACAGTTCTCTACGTCTATAATAAACAGGGAGCTGCAGATTTTGTTGGTAGAACGTGTATGCCTAAAGTGTTAGGAAGTTGCATGGTGAATTGTATCGAGTTAATATATATATATATATATATTCTTACAAGGGCATTATTACAGTGCTTGTGTTTTCTAGCAGTCCTTTTTGCTTATTTTTTGAGTGATTCGTTGAAAAAATGGCAGATGTCGATTTAATTTCCCCTCGCGAAACATTTAATGCAAAAAGGCTTGAGCCAGCAGAAGACGCTGCCTCAGAGTCTACGTCAAGGCCAATAGTTATTGAGCGCCAACGGCCACCTAGTGGATACGATGAAAACAACTGTGATCAGCAGAGTAGTCAAAGTGAGGGAAATGATGCGGAAGGGCAAAAATCTTTAGACAGCATTCAGCCAAGGAAGAAAAATCGAAGAGGCAAGTATAAACATAAAAAAAGGAAGTGGAAGCCTTATTATAAATTATCTTGGCAGGAAAGGCGTGAAGTTGACGAACGTGAAACAATGAAGGCAAACCGTGTTCGAGAAGTTATGCTTTCTCACGGACAGGCCCTAGCACCATACAATACAACACAGTTTTTAATGGACGATCACAATGTTCAAGAACCTGATTATGAACATATTAATCATGGACACCGTCACATTCAGAAGGAGAACATTGGTGATTCTTCGGATGAATTTTACAGCTCGCCAGAAGACGAGGAAGATTTTTTGCAGCAACAGTTTTGTGAGGCATACGATGACGTTCATGCCGAACGCCTAATTTCTATGTCCAAAACTGACCTTGTCCAAGAATACATTCAACTAGAAGATAGGGTCGAGGAACTTGAAGTGAAGTTAAGAGATGCTAAATCCGTGTCATTGAACAAATCAATAACTGACACAGAAGTGCAGACACCTAGTGTTAAAGAGACAGAACAGCGGGAAAAAAGTAGAATATTTCGAGCGGAAATCATGAAACTGGCGAAGGAAAACCAGCATCTTAGGAAAGAAAATGAGAAACTGAAAAATATGGTTAGTGACAGCTCGTCATCATGATAAAACTAACACAGTATCAGATCGCTTTCTCATGTACAGATGTACAAAACATTCTGTTATAGTTTCTGTTTTTGATATTCATTGTTTCATTTTATGTATGCTGTTTTTATATTTCAAAACAAAATGATGAGATCTGGTTTGCTGAAACAACAATCAAATTATGAAAAAACAGCGATACCGTATTGTTTATATTTACAATGAATGATCTTCCAATGTAAATTTGTAAATATAAATGCCAATTAAATCCTTTTATGTCAGTAATGTTGTTATTAATGCTGCCAGTTAACTATTATCAAAATCAACAAATTAAGAGTGAAACTTGAATTTAGATGGTTCATCTATGCGACAAATAGTAAAAACTGATAAGCAGGTGAGTTTCTTTTTATTAACTTGTGAAAGTTGCTTGTTGCGTTTAAATAAAGTACTTAAAATAATTAAAAAGGCAAAAAGCTCACACAAGTACAGTTTATAGTTATAACTTATACGCTTTGCAGTAATTTAAGTTTTAGCTTAATTTTGGCCCCTGTCATTAAAACACAACAGTTAGTACAATAAATGTAATATAATTTTGTAGTGGTAAACCCGAAAAAACGTTAAACAATCAAACGTGCTACTCCGCAATCGCGTTGAATTATTTTGATGTATCATTGTATGGGTTTAAGAACGTTTACATCGCAATTTAAGCGCTTATGTGAATTATAACGTAAAGAATTAGCTAAAACATGTATCCATTTTCGGGTACACATTATTAACTATTTTATTCTGCGACTTACGATTACATCCATATGCAAAGTTTCAGTGTCAGCCTGAGCGTTTCGGTGAATCGGACAAAAGATTTAACCACGGAACTCATAGTTATCGATTTCAAGTTGTTAACGTTTTCCGTAAGTAAAATTCTTCGAACTAATAGTCTGAACTGGGGATAGTTTGTATGGGCTAATCATAATAAAATGGGAATTGCATACAACTGTCATAACTTTGAAAAATATTTCCAATGTGAGTATATTTTTAAACCTGTAAAATGTTTGGCACATAATAGCGCTACTGTCGGCTTAGGCGATTTCTGTTTCGAACACCCTCAAACGGAATATTTAGTAAACTTAAAGGATGCTTTACGTTAAGTAAATTTTCGTAATAACTTTGTTCAGTTGTTATTTGACAAAATGTGTTGACCAACATGAATGTCAATGGCACGATATTAATATATTCTAAGGGATTCAAATGTATTTTACCGAATGCTTTATTTCGTTAAACTTTATTTATTTTACTTTTTCTCAACTTGCAGAATGCAGATATGTCATAATATATATTTCCCCGACCAAGAAAAGTCTACCCATCGAAAGCGCTCGGGTTGTAGTGTTTCTTATTTTTGTCTCTTATTGATTTCGTTATCTTCCGTCTTGTATTAACACTGTGAATGTTATAATACAGAGTATTTTCGTCTGTTTAAACCTTTCAAGACACTGTGTTCTAAAGTAATTAATAATATTATTTAAGTTCCCCTTAAATCGTCTTAGCGTACAGAATGATTTAATGGTATTTGATGTGTCGTCATCATCGTATTGTTATGACAGCGGAAGTCACGTGACCCTGGTAATACGTCATGAGTTTCTAGAAGGATTGGGGAACATTATGAATAACCCAGTATTTGCTAGACGCCCCTATTTTTGTTTATAAGCCCGGCAAATAAAGCGGAGAGGAGAAGTGACGGCATAGAGAATTTGCAGACAGGAAGATAAAGACAGATAATCGACTCAAGCTGTAAATAAAGTGCGTGAATCGTTGTGAATTCTAGTGTGTGTTTAAGTTAAAGTGGCTGTGGAAATTAAGTGTATTGCAAAGTTGTATTGAGAAAGAATAAACTAATTTTGTTTAAGAAAGGACTTGTATCGCTGAAGTTCTTCGGAAAGAATTTTTACGGGAAATTAACAAACGAACAGAGACGTAACAGTATGTTAATACTAACTTCCAATCAGAGCAAGCTACCAACTTAGATTCAAAAGTAAAAACCAACACTAAAATAATTAAAGCTGTAAGTTTTTAGATAATTTTGTTAATGAGACTGCATTATATACAGAGTTATATCCTGCTTATAGCGTCAGATTCAAAATTAGATTATTTCTCATTGTCCATAACGACTTATTGAAAAAATTTTGCTTCTAACATTTGGTTTCATAATACGATCGGCCCGGCATGGCAAGGTAGTTAGGGCGCTCGACTCGCAATCAGTGGGTCGCGGGTTCGAATCCCCGTCACACCAAACATGCTCGCCCTTTCAGCCATGGGGGCGTTATAACGTGACGGTCAATCCCACTATTCGTTGGTAAAAGAGTAGCCCAAGAGTTGGCGGTGGGTGGTAATGACTAGCTGCTTTCCCTCTAGTCTTACACTGCTAAATTAGGGACAGCTAGCCCTAACCACCTGGCCATGCCACGCGACATGGAAATGTTATCATGTGAAAGAATGGGTTTTCTTCGAAAAGACAATGCAGTAATCCATGTAATTTGATGATATATGTGTGCTTTTGAGAGATGATATGCTTGCAATTGTTGTAAATATAAAAGTTATTTCCTCGTGATTATTCATTACTCCAGATCAAAACTAACTTGTCAAAGAATTCCACTGCTTAAATCAGAGTTAAAATATAATACCTCAGAATTTATTGGTATATCCTGTTTTCCTCTCTTGCCTCTTTTCAGAAATCTGAGGTTCCAACTTTTTATCTTTGTAGTATATTACGTTGGGCTTAGGCCTACGATAGTTGATACTAAAAATATGCCAAAATTAGAAACGAAACTTAGACTAGGCCTAACAGTTAAAATAAATTACCAAATACTCATTTATATAATAAGATTCAGTATCTCTATGTGTGTGGGTGTGGGTGTTACGTAACTTCTCCTAAATAGCTGGTCGCACCCGGGGATTTCCCGAAAATCCCTTCTCCTAAATTGCTGGACTCGCCAACTTCTAAATGGCGCCAAACGAATCGTCTCGGCCCCAAAGTTTGCACAAAGGTAATACTTTTGACCCAACCTTTTAGAGAACTCAAAAAGTGGATCCCTAATTTGGCATTGATTTACATTAGATCATGTAAATAAGTAGGCCTACTAATTACCTTTCGTAACTAGGTTAAAGAAATTACATTTGCATTATAGCGGTTCTGTAAATGTGGGCCACAGGCCCACGGATTCGCTAGTTAGGCTAATAAAACACGTTAGATTAATTTAGTAATTTATAACGTTAATTGGTAATAATAATTTTTATAATTACACACATTTTGTAATCTACATACTGATTCGCAGTTACTTTGAAATTATCATAATTAGCGTATACTTCAAATATAGCCCAGCCTAAAGCTAAACTACCAAGGTCTTGATTCATGGAATAAAGAAAAGTAAAGCAGTAATGTTACGCCTTTTTTTTTTCATTTCTTCTCACAAATGGGCATATTTGTATATATTGTCAGAACGTGTTCTATCATCGGGCGGGTTCTTTTTGGATTATTTAATAAAAATATTCACAAGTCCAGTTCACATAACGATAACGAATTAATTTATTTCTTCAATAACGTTTGTTACAGGCTACGCTCACTCTGACACAAATTTTAAGCTTAAGTTCCCAACCACGTCTGACACGATAGTCTCGCAACAAACACTGAACCGAATCACGTATTGAATACTCAATAATTCAATACTTAATAACTGACTTCTTCACTTGGTTTCGTATTTATCTTATTGTTACGCCTCTGTGTTCGTTTGTTAATTTTCCGTAAAAATTCTTTCCGAAGAAACTT